CTTATAATTTATTTGTTCATGTGCTTATTATTTCAACTCTCACTTGGGCAGGGATCTTTACTTGTTTTTTTCCCGAATGCCCAGAATAGTATTTGTACACAGTAGGCACTGACCATACACTTGTTGAATGAATGAAGAAAAGAGATGAGTGGATGAGTCTCCGCTGCTATCACCCTGATCTGAGCCACATGCTCTCTGTCCTGGATTATTATTTAACAGCCTCCCACCTGGTCGCCCGACTCCCACCAGCCCTCTGCAGCCCATCCCCCAGCCCCCTTTAAAATGGAAGCTCCTGGTGAGGCCAGGAGTTCGGGATTTCTTTTTCCCATTGGTGTATGTTCCCCAGTGTCTGTAACTGTGCCTGACGCAGAGGAAGCACTCAAATATTTGATGTGTGAATGAAACTAAAATCTTAGTGGGTGTTCAGAAGTACCCAGGGGGTATTAGGGTGCTTTTGATGGTGGTGGGGTTGCAGTCAGATGATTAGGGAGGTTCCCCCATGCTAAGAGCCCAGAGGTCTGGGTTCCGGGCGCCTGGCTCTGCCCCTGACCGGCTGGCTGACCTCAGGCAATCCTGCTCGTCTCCAGCCTCAGTTTCCCTGGGTGTAAAATTAGAAGTGTGGCCTAGAAGAATGGTGTTCAAACTTTTGTTTTTCTTTTTAATTGGTGGAAAATAATTTTCCCATATGAAATCTTCAGAGAGACTCCGTCGAAAAACAAAGCAGAGGAGTGAGCTGCTGTGGGTGAGAGATTGCTGGGGCAGTTGGGCTGGGGCTGGGGCTGTGGGGGGACAGTGCGGGACTGGGAGGCTCATGCCTGTCAATCCCCCCTGACCAGGACTCTATGTCTCTGAGGGTCCCAGGCCCCTGCCCTGCCTCCCACACCCTGCCCGTGTCCTTCCTACGCCCTTTTTGTTTGCTATCTGAACCACACTACCCCAGAGACTCAGAGTCCCCTTCCATGTCCAAACTGGGCCCTGCCTGCCCCTAACAACTTTAAAAGAACTCCAGATTGGTCCACCGCTAACTCCTCCACCTCTCTCCTGGGCCCCCTCATCAGAAGGTCACAGTCTGCAGCCCCTGAGAGCAGCATGGGGAAAATAATTGGCCCTATTATAATTAGATGGTTGCTGCATGCAGTATTAAAAATTCCCCCTCATCAATCTATCTGTAGGAAAAAAATACAAGCAATTTCCTTGTAGTGGAAGAAAGTCACCAAAACAAAGATCAACTCAAGAGAAGAGCACTCCAGAAGGTCCCTAAAACCTGCCCGCTGTCCCCCTGCAGCCTTGGACAAACTTTCTAGTGCAAAGTGCTTCCTTGTGTCTAACCTTAACTCTACCTGCTTCAACTCCACAGTCCCCAGATACATAATTTTGGATCATGACCAGGTCTGGGGACACTTCCTTGGGTTCTACCCTATCTTGCTGTGTGACCACAGGCAGGTCACTGCCCCGTCTGCACCCCAGCAAAGTGAGACAGCTCCTCCAGTCCCCCCATGACCCCCTCTTGCCTGTCGGCAGCGATGGCTGTCATGGAGTAGATGCTAACAAACATGGCTGTGATGGGGAAGAGGTTCTGGAAGTAGCAGAAGGCACGGCCGAAGTACCAGATGTTGTGGCTGGCATAGACAAAGTTGAAGGCAGCGTTGAAGGCAGCCATGCAGAGGTCGGCCAGGGCCAGGTTGACGATGAAGTAGTTGGTAACCGTGCGCATCCTCTTATGGGCCAGGATGATCCAGATGACTGTGGCGTTGCCTGTCACGGCCACCAGCACCAGGGCCAGGTAGGCTGTGGCCCACAATGCCAGCTGCCAGCCGGGCATGGAGAAGAATGTGATGCCCGTGGTGTTGCTCCCAAGGCCAGAGGAGATGTTGGCATCAGTCACGACGGCACAGGCTCCCATGGCTGCTTCTGGGTCTGGGGCAAGGGGCCTGGCTCCGCGGTTCCTCCCGGATTTGCTATGGAAGTGAGATCTCCTTGGGTGAGAGGGTGTGTGGGGGGCGGGGAGAAGAGCAGATGCAAAGTGAGCCACGTCTGGGGAGCGTGGGGGCCACGCCTAAGTCCCAGGCCAGGATGAGGGAGGCTGAGCAAAAGCCTGGTCCAGAGCAATTGTCATTTCAGATCCCCTCGTCCCGACCAAGCTTCTCGAAATTGATGTGGACATCTAGAATTCAAATTACAGTTTCAGAGCAAGAAACATCCTTACACATCATTGGCTCAACCCCTCCAGGGTAGAGATGGAAGACTGAGATTCCAAGAGGGGATGTGACCAGCCCAGGTCACTCAGTAAGTTGGTGACAAGCAGGGACTCAAACCTGGGTCCTCATCATGCTATTCAGGAAACATTCTGGATCAGAGGAGCGAACGGTAGGAGTCTCTGATTCCACAGGTCAACTATGCAGCAGGTTGTCTCTCCAGGCTTTGGGGGTGCAGGCGAGGATGGGGGCTGCGACGTGCTCCTGACCCTGCCAACTGCCAGCCCTAGCCCTTGCCGCTGCTTCCACAGTGCTCCCCCTGGGCAGGGTAGGCGAGGGCCTTGGCAGAGGTGCCGCCTGCTCGCGAGGTGGGGCTTGGACGCCCGCCCCGCCCCTCATCCCACCCCCTGCTTGGAATGATCGGCCTTGTCTCTTGAAAGATTTAGAACTGGCTGCGAGGCAGGGAGAGACAGAGGGGGAATAGGGTGTGGTGGGGTGGGAGAGGGCTGGCTGGAGGGCACAGCCCTCTGCTGGGCGTTTACATTCAGCCCTGGGCAAGAGCTACACCTAGAAAGTGATTCAGAGCACACAATTGGGAGACAGATTGATTTTGAGCCTGGCTCAGTGACTCCAGCCAAGGGTCCTTAAAATTCTGAGCTCTGGTGGCCCCATCTGAAAAATACAGGGAAAAAATGGTGTGCATCTCACAGTGCATTTGTGACTTTCAAATGAGATAACATGCATAGAGTATAAAACAGCTCAGGGCTCTGCAGGAGAGAGAACTCAGACCCAGAGCATTTCTAACCAGTTCCAGGGTGATGCTGATGCTGTTGGTCCAGGAACCTCACTTTGAGAACCCCTGTTTTAGGGCAAGGACAGGCACTGCCTTATCTGTGAACCCCTGAAAGACTGGAATTTAAAGCCCTGAGGGGCTGATCTTTGTCATTGACTGTGTGCATGTGTGTCGGGCACCAGGTGAAGTTGTGATGATGTTTCTGTGTGTCTGTGCGTAGCTCACACACACTCATGCACCTGTGTTGTGTGGACCCTGATGGCTGGACAGGCTCAGAAGGGCCGGGCATGTCCCTCATTAAAGCAAATGCTTGCACAGTGGCCCCTGGGCTCCCAAGGTTCTGCGTGTGTCGGGCACCAGGTGAAGTTGTGATGATGTTTCTGTGTGTCTGTGCGTAGCTCACACATACTCATGCACCTGTGTTGTGTGGACCCTGATGGCTGGACAGGCTCAGAAGGGCCGGGCATGTCCCTCATTAAAGCAAACGCTTGCACAGTGGCCCCTGGGCTCCCAAGGTTCTGCCTTGCACAGCGGGATCTCTCTGCACAGCTGTGACCTCTGGCCAGCACCTCCTTCCTGCTTCTCTCCTTGTGTGCCATTTTCCACACACGCGGCCTCCTGCTCCCCTGGCTGAGCTGGGAAAGAACTTTAAAGGTCTTTAGTGCTGAAAAGATTATGCCACCCATGGAATCTGAAATTTAAAAAAACGCTAAACCATAAGTCACGAAACTTAAACATATGTTGAAATCTAAAGAGCTTCTTTCTAGATTTTTCAGATTTTGAACTTCTGGATAAGTTCATCAACAATTAGCACTGAACCTGCATCTACTGCTTGGTGTCCCTTCTGTGCTGATGTGCTAAGCGTGTGCCGAGTCTAGTGGGAATCCAGCCCTTGTCCTTGGGTAGGGCTGCTTCCTGCCCTTCCTCCTCCCTGGGACTCTTGCCCTCCCAGAGCCAGCTTCGGACAGAACCAGCTCCAGACAGAAGTGGCTGCAGCAGGCAGAGGCCTGTTTCCTCTCTGGAGAGAGACACCATCGTCTGTTTGGACTTTGGGGCCCTGCTGAAGGGTCTCTGCCTTTGATCTCTTTTGTTGGTGACAGCAGCAGCAGTATCCAATCCACTCGGGCTTGTTTCTGTTTCATGTTCACTTGGCCAGTGTCCTAGAGGGCAAACGTGTAGAAATAAGAATGTAAATGCGTGACAACTCTCTCTCTCTGCTGTGCTGGCCTTCTGCTCCCAGGCAGCTGGCACTTGTTGAGCTTTAGGTACAAACACAGTGCTGAGAGCACGTCACCAGTCCTAGAAGCCCAGAATAGTACAAGTTCACCTCTCCCTCCAACATCCCACCACCGCCACTGTATATGCAATGGGGATTACATTTTGAAGCTATTAAATCTGAGTTTTTATGTCCCCCTTAAATCATATACTCTTGCAGCATTCCAACTACATGCTATGAGGCTTGTAAGCTCATGGAAAGAGGGTGAGGCCACCCAGGACAAAGGGGTTCCCGATCAGCTTGGCTGCACAGAGCTGGCCTTCTGAGTTCATAGGTAGATAATGGTCTTGAAGGCCAGTTTTGTTGTTGTTGTTTTTTAAAGAACATTCTAGATTCCTTTAGCTCCTGTTGACACATCAAGACTGGAGGGTTTGCTCATTAAGGTTTGAGTGTGGGAAGTCCCAAGCAGGAAGGAACGGGAGGCTGCCGATGGGTTCCGGCAGGGATCGCTGAGCCCATGGTGCAGGTTGGGTACCTCTGGGAAGTGACTGACAGGATGGGCGCAGGATGTTTATTAGGGAGTTGCCATTGGGATCGACACTTGGGGAAGGTAGGGAAGGAAGCAAGGGTGGGTGGAGGAAGAAGTTGAGCTGCGGTGCAGGCCTAACCACGGCCTTGGACAACACCATGGTGGCCTGGTACTAGAAGGGCCCTTTGAGCTGCCCTGTGTTGGGCGAAAGTGTCCAGGCCTTTATACGTCCGTATCCACTACTGGACGTGGGCCACACCAAGAAGGACGTGGACACTGACAAAGCAGCTCTTTGCAGTTGAGGCAAGGCCTGCAGGGTGACAGCTAAACACAGTCCTTAGACAACATGTCCCGAAGCTTGAAGGGGGGTCTGGGAAGCACGCCACAGTGTCCACCACGGCTGCCACCTGTAGATGGGGTGTGGGCCTCGCTGACTCGTGTTATTGTAACCACTAGGCTGGAGGCTTGAAGACTAGAGCTGGGAGAGGAATGATTTTTCAGGGAGTTTGGAGGAGAAAAGGATGCAAGCAGCTGCAGGGAAGAGGGAAGAAGGTGGAGATTTAAGGGGGCTACAGGAAGCACTGTGGAGTGGGTGCCCCTTCAACAGCGTCTGAGGGGTGGCTTCAGAAGTTACCCGACTGTGTCTCTGCCCTGGGGATGGCTCTGGGCCATGGCGTTAGTGGGTCACATGCAGCGTTGCAGGATGTTAGTGCTGGACAGCGCTGCAGGTCATCTAGTCACCACGGAGTGGGGCCGAGTGGGGCCCGGTGGTGATGGAATTCACCTGGACTGGGCAAAACGAGGACAAAAGGGACAATGTGGCGAGCTTTTGATTCAGCTCAGTGAATCCGGTTTAAAGGATCATCCCTCGTTCTGAGACTATGCCCTTCCTGCTTTGGGGGCTAACACGTCCTTTCTGGGCTGGTCGGGTAGCTCACTTGGGAGAGCGTGGTGCTGATAGCACCAAGGTCAAGAGTTTGGATCCCCATACTAGCCGACCACCAAAAAACTAAAAAATGAAATAAAATGTCCTTTCTTTCATGAAATGATGGCAGACGGTAGTTGTTAACCTGGTTTTACTTTTTCTCTAAAGTATCTTACTTGACAGAATAAAAAGTTGGTGACCTGTATGGTTCCCTCAATTAGTTTTTTAAGTATTTTCTTGGTCTGTGAAATTCAAAGACCCAGGGCTGGCTGGTTAAACAGTGGCTTTGGTAACACCAAGGTTAAGGGTTCCGATCCCCTTACCAGCAAGCTACAAAAAAAAAGAAATTCAAGGACCCAGAGCCCTGATGTGGTTCCTCATTTAGAGAAGCATTGT